ATATTAGGTGATGTGCATCTCTGTAATGAGAAGGGGTGTGGTCTAATGACATCAACACCCTATATCAGGTGTGCATAATTATTAGGCAACTTCCTTTCCTTTGGCAAAATGGGTCAAAAGAAGGACTTGACAGGCTCAGAAAAGTCAAAAATAGTGAGATATATTGCAGAGGGATGCAGCACTCTTAAAATTGCAAAGCTTCTGAAGCGTGATCATCGAACAATCAAGCGTTTCATTCAAAATAGTCAACAGGGTCGCAAGAAGCGTGTGGAAAAACCAAGGCGCAAAATAACTGCCCATGAACTGAGAAAAGTCAAGCGTGCAGCTGCCACGATGCCACTTGCCACCAGTTTGGCCATATTTCAGAGCTGCAACATCACTGGAGTGCCCAAAAGCACAAGGTGTGCAATACTCAGAGACATGGCCAAGGTAAGAAAGGCTGAAAGACGACCACCACTGAACAAGACACACAAGCTGAAACATCAAGACTGGGCCAAGAAATATCTCAAGACTGATTTTTCTAAGGTTTTATGGACTGATGAAATGAGAGTGAGTCTTGATGGGCCAGATGGATGGGCCCGTGGCTGGATTGGTAAAGGGCAGAGAGCTCCAGTCCGACTCAGACGCCAGCAAGGTGGAGGTGGAGTACTGGTTTGGGCTGGTATCATCAAAGATGAGCTTGTGGGGCCTTTTCGGGTTGAGGATGGAGTCAAGCTCAACTCCCAGTCCTACTGCCAGTTCCTGGAAGACACCTTCTTCAAGCAGTGGTACAGGAAGAAGTCTGCATCCTTCAAGAAAAACATGATTTTCATGCAGGACAATGCTCCATCACACGCGTCCAAGTACTCCACAGCGTGGCTGGCAAGAAAGGGTATAAAAGAAAAATCTAATGACATGGCCTCCTTGTTCACCTGATCTGAACCCCATTGAGAACCTGTGGTCCATCATCAAATGTGAGATTTACAAGGAGGGAAAACAGTACACCTCTCTGAACAGTGTCTGGGAGGCTGTGGTTGCTGCTGCACGCAATGTTGATGGTGAACAGATCAAAACACTGACAGAATCCATGGATGGCAGGCTTTTGAGTGTCCTTGCAAAGAAAGGTGGCTATATTGGTCACTGATTTGTTTTGTTTTTGAATGTCAGAAATGTATATTTGTGAATGTTGAGATGTTATATTGGTTTCACTGGTAATAATAAATAATTGAAATGGGTATATATTTGTTTTTTGTTAAGTTGCCTAATAATTATGCACAGTAATAGTCACCTGCACACACAGATATCCCCCTAACATAGCTATAACTAAAAACAAACTAAAAACTACTTCCAAAAATATTCAGCTTTGATATTAATGAGTTTTTTGGGTTCATTGAGAACATGGTTGTTGTTCAATAATAAAATTAATCCTCAAAAATACAACTTGCCTAATAATTCTGCACTCCCTGTATTGTCTAAGTGGCCACTCCGAAAAGCAAGCAAAAAAAAAAGACAAAAATAATAAATAGGAACGTTCTAAAAATAGCAATATAGATAAACAATGACAGTTTCAAATCATAGATACAATTGATTAAATTAATTAAATTGTACAAATTCACTAACAAGATAGCAGTGGGCACTTTTCAATAAGTAATGTTTCCAGAAGAAATGTATAATAAAACAACTGTTAAACTGAAGTGATAATACTGGCCATAAATGGCTTAAATGCCACAACATACGAACACGTACATAGTACTTTGCAACAATAGTTCTAAATCAAGTATAGTCATTTATATGTCAGTTCAGCACCACCACATGGGTTAATCCAGTATTCCGATACTAATTCGACATGTAAGCGAAAGAATGCTGAGTGCAACAAAGTAATGAATTTTTCTAATCAGCTACTGTAGCTCTAGTGGCATATAATTACCAGGGGACCAATAAAGTGACCCTCATAAGATAAAGGCAGATTCCAACAGCCCTATGGCAGGTCAATGGTATAACTCAGTGTTCAAGGGTAAGACAAACGAGGAAGCCTCGGGACTCGGGAGTCCTCCCAGTCTTGAGGAAGCACTCCTCAAATTAACATAGCTGCAATTGATGTTGTATCATTGTGGTGCGCTAATCTCCTAAAGTGCTTTGCATGCCTTTGCAATTGCACGGAAACACCTTGTGTCAGTCTGCACAAATACAAATAGTCACAATTATTCACTGTCAATGCATTTTTGTACCAAATTAGGACTTTTTCAAGACCAAAAATGAATAAATCACTCCCTTCCTATTCATAGAGATTAACTTATACATAGTGTTGTTATACTGGTGAGAGTTAGATAAAGACATGTATGTAGTTTCCAAAAGATTGCTATTTCCTCTTTTATGATGCACAGTTAAGCTAAGAGAATCAGATGAATATGTATCCAACTGGTCTGGATCTACACATCTAAAGAGCATGGCGTTTGAATGTTGCATTCTTAACGGCACATAATATAAATAAAAACAAAAATTCTTCCTTTAACTGTTTATTTACTTATAAATGAAAACATTTGGAGAATGGCCGTGACTTTTATTACGGATTTCACAATTCTGATTTAATATCCGTAATCCTAATAATAATAATAACCATAACTTTAAAACCAAAACCAAATGACCATTAACCATTTCCAGACTTCGCCCCTTAAAGTCAGGAGCCATAAGTATATCTTTTCCAACCAAATAAACCAAATCCCCCCCTCCTATGATGCCCAGGAGGGTGACATATTCATACGCCACCGAGGTTCTGGGCAACCAAACCCGGTGGCCCCCAAAGCACACAGCCATCTACACCTGACCTGTCTGACAAATTAATCGCATCTCTCCTATAAAAACCTGCGCAACTGCCCTCAATATCGTTATGCCTATTTAAACGCATCCCTAACGTTGGCAAAAACTTCTCTAGAGCTCTGCTTAACTTTCTGCTCACCCTCTCTAACAGTTTTAACCCCTTAAGGACCAAACTTCTGGAATAAAAGGGAATCATGACATGTCACACATGTCATGTGTCCTTAAGGGGTTAAATAGCTTATTTTAAGCCAGCAATGTCTTGCTATGATCTCTAACCAAATAAAGCGCAAATTTGTGCTGAAGAAAACTAATCGTTCTTAATTTCTTGGAACAACCGATTTTGTAGCTCCAATGTCGTTACCCCCTAAATGAACTATAATTAAATCTGGATAAGGAAAAAGTGATGAACATTGTTGCAACATTTACAATAACTGTGACCACTTGGCACCACGGGTGCCTTTCCAAAAATTTTTTACTGAAGTGCTCTTCAAACCAAGATTCTCTCCATACTTACAATTCTATGCCCTCTTCTGGGCCTATACAACAAAAGAGTGACCAATATCCAAGGTAATCGCCGGCTTCTTAATTCCTAACAGAAAGAAACATTTTAATATATACCCCCATTGCATAAAAACTAATCCTTCTGAACCAATTACCACTTACACATGACATTCCTTGATCACAAACTCCCCCTTTTTTATTTTTATAACAAATGAGTCCTGACATACAATTGGAATTTGTTAGAATCCAATCTTCCCAGCTTTTAAATGATTCAATCACTTAGACCAAACCTCGCCACCTCTGTTGCAGCTCCAATCCTGAATGAATGCGATAAATAACGCTCTTTACCTAAACCTAATTTTGCCAGACATACCTTAAAAACTTGAAAAAAATTTAAATTTAGTTAGCGGGCTAGAATCAACATGCATAAATAATGGGCCTACCACTCTTGATCGCAGTAATAGATATTCCTCTGTCACTCTCACTGGGCACATGATTGAACCTTGAATGTTAAATAGAGACAACCATCTGCCTCTACCTTCTTGGTCAGTTTTTGATTTACTAATAAATATCATAACCTTCCTATTACTAACAATAATGTCCTCCCACTGCAAACCTGATAAACAAAACTTACTTCTAGAAACTAATTCTAGAATGTCCTTAACGCTGCAAAAAGGCTATTATTAATGAACATCTAAATAAAACTAGCTCAAAGGGTGAATAAAAAACTACCTACAAAACTTCAAATAACTGTGCTAAATCAATCACACAATTTTCGAAAGAAATCCAACCTTGCTAAATTGCTTGCTAATAGAGTTGAGAGAACCCGGACTGTAAAGTTCGGGTTCGTACCGAACATTACTTTTTTGGACCCCGGACCCGAACACGGACATATCACTGTATGTTCGGGTTGGAGTTCAGTGTTCGGTGATTTAATCAACAAGCGTTTGACTCGTGTGCCCTTAGAAGCCATCACAGCCATGCCTACTAATGGCATGGCTGTGATTGGCAAGTGCAGCATGTGACCCAGCCTCTATATGTAAGCTGGAGTTGCGCCGCACGCACATGAGGTCTTATTAGTGTAGGGAGAGGATGCTGCCGCTGTGAGGGACAGCTTAGGAAAGAATTCTGCAAACTAGTACATTAGTGGGGTGCACTTCATATCTGAGAGTCAAATAGAAGCATCAAATTCTGCGATTACATCGGAGTTTTAAAAAGTAAATTTCTTTTGGTGCTAAATAGTACATTAGTGGGGTGCACTTCATATCTGAGAGTCAAATAGAAGCATCAAATAGTGTGCTTACAGTGCAGTTGTAAAAATGCTAATTGTTTTGCTGCTAATCTGCTAAATAGTACATTTTGGGGCCTGATCTTCATATCTGAGAGTCAAATCGAAGCGTCAAATAGTGCGCTTACAGCGCAGTTGTAAAAATTCAAATAGTTTTGCTGCTAAACAGCTAAATAGTACATTTTGGGCGTGCTCTTTATTTCTGAGAGTCATATAGAAGCGTCAAATAGTGCGCTTACAGCACATGCTGGAGAGACTGTGCGAGCAGCAGCAGGCGATAGTGGAGTTTCAGCTGCAGCACGCACAGATCAGTTGCTCTGCACCAGACTTGCCCTTCAATTGATCAGAGTTAAAGGATTTCAAGTGGACTCATTACAATTACAGGGCCTCTAAAGAGTCCTGTATTGTTATTTGTCATCACTACCTCCCCGCATCGGGAGTGGGTCATTTGCGCGCCTGCTGCCTTCCTTGCATGTGGTAGCCGTTTGTCAGGGACCCTGTATGGAATCGAACCCTGATTCCCCATGGTCACCATAGTTGGCGCAGTAAACGGAATCGAAAGTTGATATGGATTGACATACAAATGCGTTGTCGCCTTGTCGTTGGGGGCACATTGAAAAAGTGCTCTAGCATGACGAGCTGGGTGATCTCCTCTGGGAACTTGGCTTGATGGGAGTTGAGCCAGTTCTGGGTTGCCCTTGTGATGCGGCATGCCCACTCCGCATGGGAGTCCTTCTCCCCTTTCTGGGTCTTCCTAAACTTTCGGCGGTGTTGCTCGGGGGTGACCACATACCATGCCAGGAGGATTTGTGTAATAAAGGGATAGTCTCTGATCTGCTCTTCTGGTACAGCCCGGTAAATATCCGCTGCCTTCCCCACTAGTTTGCTGGCCAGGATGGTGACCCAGTCGCTGGGGTCCACGTCTTGGAGTAGGCACTGGCGCTCAAAGTCTTGTAAAAAGTCATTGATGCCTTCTTCTGCTTCCTTGAAGTCTTTGAAGGCATTGTATGGTAGCTTATGGGCCAGGGTAATTGTACTTTCCGGCACCTTCTGCTCCCTTCTTCCTTCATCTGGGTTCATGGAGGTCACCCTCTGTCTATTGGCAAGCACACAGGCTTGCACCTCCAAAAAGGTCCTGCTGACAATCTCCTCTGATGGTGGCTCTCGGTAATATGCCAGACGCTGTTCCACCTCCTTGCGCACTTCGTCCTCATTCCGGCCCCTGGCTGGGGTTCCTTGCCTCACTGCGTGCCTGGTCGTCCTCCATGAGCGCAGCAGTCAATTTGCCCTTGTTACGCACACCAGGCGTTATTCTTTTGGCTCCACACAAGTCCTGCAGTGTAGGTCACTTTAGAGCACTGTAGTCCATGGGTCTGTTGGCAGTGCCATGGGATCCCGCCGCTTGCCACCAATTGAAGCGGGACCTGGGTAACCGATGGTTATCCCCTTTGGTTAGAATAGGTCAGACCCATTTCCCCAGTAATCGGATGGGACTCAGTTCCAGGATACAAAGTTTGACAATCTTTATTTGGGTACACAGCTTTGCCTCCTGTTGCCTCCTCCTCCTCCACCGCCTCCTCCTCTACCTACACCCCCACAGTGTATACCCAGATATATCAGAGCTGCTGCAGAAAGTGCGGGCCTGCTGCTGCTTGCCTGTCTGCGCTGCAGCGTAACTTCGGCATTCCCGCTCACCGCCTCATGAGACTGTGCAAGCAGCAGCAGGCGACAGTGGAGTTTCAGATGCAGCACGCACGGGTCAGTCAGTCTGTGGAACAGTTTGCTTTTTTTATATGTCCCAATATTTTGGGGGCTACCCCAATTAAATATATATATGTATATATATATATATATATATATATATATATATATATATATATATAAAAACAGTGTTGTCTACTTCCTCCTCCTCCACCGCTGCTTCCACCTACACCGCCACGATCACCGCCTCCTCAACCTATGGGTCACTTAGTATAAACTATGTACACAATAGCAGAGGCTTGTGAAGGCCTTTTCTCCATGCATCAGGAGTTTAGCATTTCTCCATGCATCAGGACTGCAAGAAATGCACCTCAGTCCGCAAAAGTTTGTTTATTTTTATGTCCCAATATTTTGGGGGCTACCCCAATAAAAAAATAAAATAAAAAAATAATATATATATATATATATATATTTATATATATATATATATATAAAAAACAGTGTTGACTACCTCCTCTTCCTCCACCGCTGCTTCCACCTACACCGCCACGGTCACTGCCTCCTCAACCTATGGGTCACGTAGTATAAACTATGTACACAATAGCAGAGGCTTGTTAAGGCCTTTTCTCCATGCATCAGGAGTTAAGCTCAGTTTGAACAATGAAAGAGAATACCCTGCACTCCAACCCTCTCTCAAATGGATAATTCTGTTGATCTTCCTGACAGTCATGCTTTAGATTTTGATTTATGTTCTTCCAAAGCTAAAATCAAAGATTCCATCTAGTGCTATTTTATGGCTCAGCTGTATTTAAATTTGTTATGTTATTTTAAGTGATTTTCCTATCCACATTTGTTTGCAGGGCACTTGTCCTACTCTTACCCCCATTTTACTTCCTTTTGCAGACCTCTAGCCCTTTCCAGGACTTTTTTAGAGGCATTTTTGGGGCCAAAAGTTCGGGTCCCCATTGACTTCAATGGGGTTCGGGTTCGGGGTCAAGTTCGATCACGAACCCGTACTTTTTTTCAAAGTTCGGCCAAACCCGGCGTACCCGAACATTCAGGTGTCCGCTCAACTCTACTTGCTAACTTTGATTTAGAAACGCCTTTCTGCATTAAAAGAACTACAAATTGCACTGCACTCTCTTTATCCTCCCCCAATGGATTACTCCCAATAGAATTGATAAATTTAACCCACTCGTTCCATGCCTGGACATAAGCTATCCAAGTAGAAGCGGCCACTGAATTCCTTAAAAAGGCACTTAACTGTCCCCAATCAATCCCCAAAGGTCTGATGGAAACTGTATTCCTTTCGCCTCCGCTTGAGGTGCCATTTCCCGAAACTTCAGTAATTGCAATCGTGAAAGAGCATCAGTCAGTCTATTCAATTTACCTGGTATGTGCCTGGTTTTCAACCAAATGTTTAATTGTAAACAACTAAAAACCAAATGCCTAAGCAAATTGATCACTTCCTTACATGTAGACTGCAATGAATTGATTACCATGACTCCACTTAAATTATCACATGTGGCAATCAAACGCCTATTTCTCCACTAGTCCCGCCAAATATATATGGCTGCTACTATGGGAAACAGTTCCAACAATGTACCATTTTTTGTTAACCCTCCTTGTGCCCATGACTCTGGCCATTCTTGCCCACACCACTGTCCACTCCAATATATACCGAAACCAATGGCACCTGCTTCCTCTGTGAACAGCTCCAGACTGTCAAAATCTGTGAACTCCCTCTGCCACAGCGACCTCCCATTAAAATCTTCCAAAAACAGCTTCCACACTTTCAGGTCCTGTTTTACTTCCCTTGTTACTCTGACGTGTGCAAAGGGAGACTTAATGTTTGCCATTGCCATGCCCAATTTTCTAGAAAATGCTCTCCCCATCGGAATTACCCTTGATGCAAATGTCAACACACCCAATAACGACTGTAGCACCTTTAAGGTCACTTTTTCACAACCCATTACTGTTGAATTAGCAACTTGATCTTTGATATTTTTTCTTCTGGCAACCTAAACTCCATCTGAAATGTAGGCACTGAATAAACAAATGCCAAAAAACACACACCACTCTCTGTGTCCCAGATAGTAAATATATACAATACTTATATATATACAGGTGAAACGCGTCTGCATTATTATCATTCTGTGTATTACTATATACAATTAACACAGTTAATGTGAATGTTTACATGGTGTGTTCAATTAAAACATGGCAACATTTCATTCTTTGTGTGTTATTAGTTTACGCAGACTGTGATTGTCTATTGTTGTGACTTACATGATGATCAGATCACATTTTATGACCAATTTGTGCAGAAATCCATATCATTCCAAAGGGTTCACATACTTTTTCTTGCAACTGTATAAATGTACTCCCCCTTCCATATCCTATCTTTTATTTATTTACTCAAATGAAAACCCATAACGCTTCTTTCATACACGTTTCCTTCATTCTAACTACTTCCCTCACAGACTGCATCACTTTTGGACTAGCTGTGACAATTTCTTTGCCTTGATCCCTTGAACTCTCTTGCTAAACTAGGAGTCTGAAGCAATTTAGTATTTTTTTTCAATTGAGGAGACTACCTCACCTAACACAGCATTATTCACAGATTTTTGTGACTCACCCAGCCCATGACTGTGACCCATAACATCCTGGGCATGTCCTCATTTGCTGGGGAGCAAACACCTTCACAGAGTGAGTATGGTACTGGAAAACAAATGCTTTATAGCAGGTGTAACAACCCATCATTGTACCCCAACATAAAATACAGGTAAAACTATTATCAATTGAAAAAATCACCATTCCTATTTTGCATGCCCAAATCACCGTTTATTGTATTTTTTGTTTTGTTTTATTTTTTTCAACTTAATTAGCCATTTTAATAGGCAAGAAAAATAATAATAGAATTAAAACCGTGACACTGTAATGACAAGGTAATGTTTGAACCTCTCAGAGACATTTTTAAATACAATCCCAATCAGATTTGAGCTCTATCTACGCACGTCCTCAGCTCATTTTGCTTGCACTGAGCAATTAGTTCTGTTGGGTCAAGGACAATGAATCAACGTTAGGAGGGCATTTCAGTAGAAGCATGGAATATACATTATTAAGGATGCATCCAAACATGTTTGAATTGCTGAATGTCGCTGGAAATTTTTTACATTTTTTTTTATAGTTTGAGCAAATTTCTCCCCTGGATTATTATTAGTGGGTGGAAATAATTTAATTTAATAGATTGCATTACAAATTCCCTTGAGAAACAAACTTGGCTTAATGTTCCTTACATGTTCCACCCTAGAGGCATCTAAAAATGTCTTTATGCCTTTTCTTGTAATGTAGGTCATCATAGCTCGTGGGATTTATAGATTTATAGATATTTTAAATAATCTCAGTTCCAAAAAAATCCCCTTATTTTTTCCAGTAATTTAAATACTAAACGGAAATGCTGTTGCTATGTATTTTCAAACCTATTCCATAAATCACTTAAACTTTTCAAATAACCTTTTCATCAATAGACTTGTTAAATAATTTATTTTCACCTGGACAGTAATCTTGATCCAGCTTTAATATCTAAAAATATTATACATATACTTTATACTAAGACCAGTTTCCCTCTACAATTACCCTCACACAGTTATAAACAACATGGGGCTTCATTAATAAACAAGAATTGTAGTTTAAATTTACAATCTACAATTTATCTAAAAAATGTCACTCTGGGGGTTTGTCTATCCCCTTAATTCTTAAAGGGTCTCACTTTTACTCTAACAGAAAAGGTATTTCTACACACAAATATTAACCTTCTCAAGGACTAATAAGGGATACGAAAGCCAATGTATTGTCAGGAATTCAAAGTGAATCCAAAGTAAATTTTTAATTTTAGGGGACGCTACACTATTTAGTAGATATACCCCAAATTAAAACATGCATACTGAGGTGCTGCAACAACCTGAAAATTAAGGGCATATCGAAGGACATACTGGCAGCAGAGCTTCCGCACCTCAGATGGGTTAGTTCTAAAATTACCCTCCCTCCCCAATTCTAGGGCAGATTGTGCTGTTATAGATCTCTGAAGACCTGAGGCATAATTATGCCTTGGTAAGCAGCCTCTGGACCTAGGTTTACCAACCTACAAGCTAAACAAATTTCGTCCCTCTCCCCACTTGTTGCTTATAAAAAGGGGACTATTATTCCTCTTATTTCACAGTCCCTCATTTGCGGGGTCTTTTCTAGCGAGTGAGCAGCAATAGCTGCCCAGTTGCTAGTTTTTAACATTTAGTAGATATGCAGTAATATGGAGGTCTTATTGACCCTCGTGCAATTTTATTCTTTACTAATGTGATGGCTGGCTAGCAAGCACAAGCCAGCCACCACATAAATAACCCTCGCACCACTGACGTTTTTTAAACTATTTGCCTGATGGCTGCTAGTGCTAGAGTTGAAGCCTCCAGGCCTGATTAACACAATGTGGACACTTTTAAATTCCATCAACAATGTCTATACTTGTAGTACGGACTTTCATTAATAACCATGCATATATAATATGTTTCAAACTAGAGTATGGAATAAACATAATTTAAAAAGAAAACACATTTGCTGAATAAACATGAATCTAGTAAATGCTGTTAAAAAAATAACTTTATTAGAAGCGTATACAATTAGCAAATGCTTCCAAATGCATTATTCTTACTCATAAGCTCCCCAAAAATCCCTAGTTAGAAATTCACTTAAATCTGAAAACACTCTATCATACAGAAAGCACAACACAAAGCAAAAAAACAATAATAAAATCTGACAATGTGAAACATAATAACCACAGAAACAATCAAATAGAACATTGATCAAAAGCAAAGTTGCTCCCTACTGAAAACTGTGGGAGTAACCATTGTGGCTTTCTTACTTTGCCGGCTGAGATAAGCAGGTAAATCTGATTTATTTTTTTATATTACTTCCTTCTTTTTTCTTATGCTTTCCACATCCACTCCAGACGGGACACTGATTGGTTATTCCTATTCCTAGGAATGCTGGAAAAGTGTATTGGTTATGCCAGGCAGATTTAATCATTAGCAGATAGAAGACCTCTTCACATTGCAACATCCTCACACAGGGACAAGAGAAGGAATCTGATCAGTGTGATTAATGCAGAGCAGACACCAGTGTCAAGTTTCTCCCTTTCCTGCAGTGTTCCTGCAGTGCAGGGAGAATGATAAGCTTGTTGCTGGTACACAACAATGTCCTGTTTCTGTCATTAGTAGGCTGCTCTGGACTGAATTAGTGGATGGGTAAGAGGGAGCCTGAAGAAACTCCCTTAACTGAGAGGCGTGCCCTACAATGCAATCTGACTAAGTTTTGTAGTATATTTATTAATGCATACTACACATTTTTCAAAGGTTTTCTTGGATTATTTTCGTTTGTATAATTGTTTAAAAATGTTTGCTTGCTGGTTTAAAAAAAAAAAAAAACAATCATCAAGTGATGCATGTCCCTTTAAAAGGCAAGTGGAATCAGTCTGGCCATTCAGTTGCTTCTCTATCAAGTACGAGTTAGATTCTTTTAGGAGAGTAAGGGTTAATTCATCTTATGGAATAGCAATATCAGTTAGCTGAGAAAATATTTATTTTGCTACGATAACAGCAGTTGGTGTTTAGTGAATAGACCACATTAATTAAAAAAAAACAAGCGTTATATTTTGTACACCTTGTGTGACAAATTAATTGTTTTGAAATGCATCAAATGATAAAATAGAAATGACACAAACTTAGTGGATTGACTTAAAAATATGAGATCAGAGTATTCTAATAGAACTTGATCTGTTACATGTTGCAGTTCTGCATGAACAACATTTCAGAAATGTGCTGGCTGTTCTCCACATTATTGTCTAGAATTATTTTTTACTTGCTTACTGACTGAATTCAAATAAACACCATTTTAGGAGGTTTAGCAACGTTCTACTTTTCTTTGCCAGGACAATAATGCAAACATACATGCCTACATGTATAAATAACACATTTCAACATTGAATCCGCATGTCTTAGATTGAGCTCCCTCAATTGTACTGCGCTACAGAATTTGATGGTGCTATGTTGATAATAATAATAATAATAGTGTAATAGTAGTTATTGTCTTTCAGTACTGTTGTAAATCTGTGCAGCAGGAGGTCAATGTTGTAGATGTTTCTCAAGAATAAACATAGAAACATAGAAACATAGAAACATAGAATGTGACGGCAGATAAGAACCATTTGGCCCATCTAGTCTGCCCAATTTTCTAAATACTTTCATTAGTCCCTAGTCTTATCTTATAGTTAGGATAGCCTTATGCCTATCCCACGCATGCTTAAACTCCTTTACTGTGTTAACCTCTACCATTTCAGCTGGAAGGCTATTCCATGCATCCACTACCCTCTCAGTAAAGTAATACTTCCTGATATTATTTTTAAACCTTTGTCCCTCTAATTTAAGACTATGTCCTCTTGTTGTGGTAGTTTTTCTTCTTTTAAATATAGTCTCCTCCTTTACTGTGTTGATTCCCTTTATATATTTAAATGTTTCTATCATATCCCCCCTGTCTCGTCTTTCCTCCAAGCTATACATGTTAAGATCCTTTAACCTTTCCTGGTAAGTTTTATCCTGCAATCCATGAACCAGTTTAGTAGCCCTTCTCTGAACCCTCTCTAGGTATCAATATCCTTCTGAAGATACGGTCTCCAGTACTGTGTACAATACTCCAAGTGAGGTCTCACCAGTGTTCTGTACAATGGCATGAGCACTTCCCTCTTTCTACTGCTAATACCTCTCCTATACAACCAAGCATTCTGCTAGCATTTCCTGCTGCTCTATTACATTGTCTGCCTACCTTTAAGTCATCAGAAATAATCACCCCTAAATCCCTTTCCTCAGATGTTGAGGTTAGGACTCTATCAAATATTCTGTACTCTGCACTTGGGTTTTTACGTCCAAGATGCATTATCTTACACTTATCCACATTAAATGTCAGTTGCCACAATTCTGACCATTTTTCTAGTTTACCTAAATCATTTGCCATTTGGCTTATCCCTCCTGGAACATCAACCCTGTTACATATCTTAGTATCATCAGCAAAAAGACATACCTTACCATCAAGACCTTCTGCAATATCACTAATAAAAATATTAAAGAGAATGGGTCCAAGTACAGATCCCTGAGGTACCCCACTGGTGACAAGTCCAAGCTTCGAATATATTCCATTAACTAAAACCCTCTGTTGCCTGTCACTCAGCCACTGCCTTACCCATTCAACAATATTTGAATCCAAACTTAAAGATTGCAGTTTATTGATAAGCCTTCTATGTGCAACAGTGTCAAAAGCCTTACTGAAATCTAGGTAAGCAATGTCTACTGCACCACCCTGATCTATAATTTTAGTTACCCAATCAAAAAAATCAATAAGATTAGTTTGGCATGATCTCCCTGAAGTAAACCCATGTTGTCTCTGATCTTGAAATCCATGTGTTTTAGATGTTCATCAATCCTATCCTTTAACATGGTTTCCATCACTTTCCCCACTACTGAAGTAAGGCTTACCGGCCTATAGTTGCCCGACTCCTCCCTATTACCTTTCTTGTAAATGGGCACAACATTCGCTAACTTCCAATCTTCTGGGACTACTCCTGTTAACAATGATTGGTTAAATAAATCTGTTAATGGTTTTGCTAGTACACCACTAAGCTCTTTTAATAGCTTTGGGTGTATTCCATCAGGTCCCATTGACTTATTTGTCTTTACTTTTGACAGTTGAAATAGAACCTCTTCCTCTGTAAACTCACGTGTAATAAATGACTCATTTATCCTTTTTCTCAACTGAGGTCCCTTTCCTTCATTTTAATCTGTAAATACAGAACAAAAATATTCATTAATTCAGTTAAATCTGGCAACAGGAGCATATTTTTCAATGAGCTATAAAAAAACAGTTACCTAGATGGGCATTGTTTTTCCTACTGGGGGCAAGTGAAAGTGACTTTAAAATATTTGTATTCTTATTTCAGTGATCCTCTGCCCATTTTCTCTAATTGCTACTCAATTTTGCAAAAAAAGAATAACAATTTTATTATTTTATCTTGTTTTGAGTCAAACTCCTGCCAGAAAAACAAATCCGTAGGTATAAAAGGTCCCCCCCCTCTCGTGGGGCTGAAGGGGTTAAAACCTGAATCCTGCGCTGATATCCCTCGGTGCTGGGTCAGGCTCCACCCACGCTCCTTCCCCGCCGACGTAATCTGGCTGGGGAGACCTAATGTGCATGTGCATGTGCGGCAATGGCCGTATGCGCATTAGACCTCCCCATAGGAAAGCATTATTCAATTATTATTCAATGCTTTCCTATGGAGAAAATCTGACGCTGGAGGACCTCATGCAGAGCGTGAGGAAGTCCAAAGTCAGATTCCCGGACCAAAGGTCCGTTTGGATTCTGGAAGCATCCCCAGTGACTGTCTAGTAGACAGCCACTGAGGGTAGACTTAGAGCTGCCATGTTTTACATAACGAATAAAGCATACTTTTTTTTTTACTGAACCAAGTACTTTAATAATATAGCTAGATTAAATAGGGGATCAAGGGGAAATCCACTTTATACCATTATATGATCTTTACGTGAAATTATTATAATTTACATATACTTCCTTGAAAGAGAAAAAAAAAATCATATTCTTATGTTGTAGGTGAAAGCTCTTTATGAACATAGGCTGTAATTTCTCTTCTCGGTTTTAGCATCTCCTTCTGCACAGCAGTGCAGTTTTGAGCAGCTTTTGCATTAAAAGGACATGCCAAGCACCATAACCACAACAGCCAAGTGTAATGGTTATGGTGTCAGGATTGTCCTGGTGTTCTCCCATAGTGATTTGTCAAACCATTTAAGAATGGTTTAACAGCTTACCTGAAGTTCACCAGGCACTTGCTGTTGTCTTCTCAGAAGTTGGAAGAGCCTACAATGGGCTAAACCTGGCAGTGCAGGGCTGAACTCATTGGCTGAGATTGCTCAAGTGACATTGCCACCCAATGAGCTTATTTTGCATGCTTCAGGTGAGGCAGTGACTCTACCACTAAGAGAAGGAAAAATTAAAGGTAGCACCAATAATTAAAATAAATACCGAGGTATATACCAAAAAGGTCTAGACTAATGATAATAATAATAAATATAAATAGAAAAAAAAATATTTAAAAAGGTCCACAGTAAAAGAGTCCAACTAAAAATTAAAATTGTAATCAAAAACCATGGGAAAATGGTATGGGAACAGCCAGATCTTGATAAAGGTCGATGACTTTTTATGGGGTTCTGGGTCACGTGTGGCTCGAAATCCAAGCGTACATATGTAGAGAGAACAGAAGGAAGGATCCAACGTTACAGTATATCTTAAATATAAAACTGTACAAATAGTGAATAAGTCCTACTCAAAATGTACATGAGATGTGGCCTGCTCTGGTTTAAACAGCGTAAAGTGGGTATCCCCACTTTTAGGATATGAGTGTAGGAGGAGTTCTCTGCAGTCACTCAGTATAGAGTCGTTGATGGAGCCCAAGGTAGTATAAAACAGATAAAAAGGAAAAAGAATAGTGCTCTCTGTATGTCTAAAGTCCAAAAGTAAAAAAATATAGATATTGTGCTCACATTTGATCAAGCAGACTCACTGCTTAGTGTATAAAGCGCAGGTGGTATGATCACCACCCGGGATTCTTGGTGAGATTATCACTGGAATCGATGGTCAGGATACCAGGCAGTAGATAAAAAGTATAAAATAAATAAAAGGAGTATGGCACAGGGGTAGTGTCAGGATCCTATCCTGACAACTCAAATCATGTTTATTTTCTTCTGTTTTATTTTTCTCCAATACCAGTTTCTCACCATTAGTGGCCTCCCTAGCCACTAGACAAACTTCAGTCTTTCTCACCTGCATAGCATGACGGACCAAAAGTTGTGTTCTGAACCTGACAAGTCTTCTGCTCCTGGCTCTTACTAAAGAAAACCTGCTCTACTCTTACTTACCTTGAACCATCCTGATTTATTCCAACCTGATCTCCAATACGAACCTGCTTTATTTCTATACTGGACTTGGTTTTCATATTGATTTTGTTCCAACCTACCTGGATATTACAGACTTTCATATTATTTGCAAGTACCCTAAAAGACCCTGAAACTGCAGTTCTGGCTTCAAACCAAAGAAGCTGATCACCTTGCTACCTTAACCTGTTTTAATTTATCTTTTATGTTCCGTTTAGTTTTATCTAATTGTATCCCTGTTACCTGATATCCTGCTTGGGGCATATTGCTTAACTCCTGTGTTCTATTATCTCTCCTACTACTATCAGCCTATAATTTAATTTATAGGTTCTCCTACTACTTTTCTGCCTATAATTTCTCTTATAGGTTTTACTTTTACTTTATAATCCTGTCTGGGGCTTATTGCCTAAACTCTTGTCTTCTGTTATTCCTGTAATTCCGTTTATAGGTTCTACTTTCTTCATTTCTCTTTATGTATTATTCCACTCTCCCTCTTGCCTTTCTACTCTTATTATTTCTTGTGAAACCATGTCTAATAATTCCAATAAAGTACCTGAAGTCAACCCCGGCATAAGTCTCCTTGCTGACCTGCTCAGAATCATGACAGGTAGTATAAAAATAGCCAATAGTCCTTTATTAGTAAAATAAAATAAATTAAAAAGCTTCTACAACGCGTTTCACCTTGCAATAGGCTTTATCAGGTAGAATTAGCTCTACCACCACGACTCTACCACTGCAGTGGCATATAGTGATTGTGTTCCTTGGAGCATTCCTTCAATCCTTAATGCTTTGCTATGTAGGAATATGCAAAAGGCAAAATGTGTCAAATTCCACTAACAAAGACTACCTAAGCCAAAACGTGTATTATATGAAATGTATCATATATTTCAATATTAGAATGAAATAACTGATCAAACTGCTTGGAAATGAGGAATGGTTCAATAGTTTTAACCAATGGATGAGATAAACTTGGGGATCCTCATAGACACCCATTAAACAGGTTGTATCAATATCAAGTTTCCCCTACTTTCAATTTGTGTATGTGGAATAACAAGATAGAAACCAGAGAATTACCCTAAAACATCCTTCAGCCGCTTTAGTTGGTTAGGGATAACATGTCTTTATTGGAGTCTTAAAGTATATATATATATATATATATATATATATATATATATATATATATATATATATATATATATATATATATATATATATATACACACACATGAAATTCATTGCAAATTGATGTTGATTCCAAAGTTCATTTGAAGCTGAGTACATTATGGCTCACTTTGTTAAGAGCACAACGTCTGGCACAGCTTGACATTCTCTCATAATGCTTTCAATTAGTAAAAGAGTAGAAGGAAGTGCTGGTGGTCAGCTGTGCGTTCAAGGTTAAAGCTGACTGTTTAACCTTAAAACAAAAAAAAATATTGTCCATAACTTTCCAGCATATTAGCTTGAAAAGTATTTTCCATGTTGTTCTGTAGATGTAAATGGAATTTCCTTATGCTCTTCTAAGCTGACAGCATTGTTTTAAGTACCATTAAGGAAAACTAATTTAAATATTACTCTCTTTTTACAGTAGACCATGAAATAACAGTTTCTCTCTGGAAAAGATGGGTATTTTTTTTTATATTTTATTAGTATAGCGCAAATGCAATAAATATTTAATTCTATTGGCTGCAAATTTGCTGGTAGTATTGTTAATAGCAATAGATCACATGTTTACTATATATTTTTTCGAAATTCTGTTGCGGTTTGCCTGCCAATAAAAGCATTCATAGCACAAATTATAAAACTGAATAAACCTTTGGCAGATACACAATAAGGAGCCCAATAAACATGGCATTTTCTTTATCTTATATCTTACTGTCAACTTGTGAATGGCTAAGTCTATGTAAGTAACTTGCTCTTACTGATTTTTTTTAACTGGTGCACTTGGTTTTGGCCAAACTAAATTTGGGCCAGTTAGCTGTTCAACTGAATTCTATATCTCCATAGCACCTTGTTGACTTAAAACTGAGCAAACAACTAGCATGATGGCCAAATATGTCCAATTGCTTTTTTATATTCTTTTCCTGACACCAGAAAATAAAATAGGATGAAATTTTGGGGGGAAGGCAAATAAGCAGATTAATTTGCAATGATAAACAAGCTTGCCGATTGAGCTGCAGAAATTCCATGCTCCAGAATTTTGTGGAAAATACTCACATAAGCACGGACATGTTTGATTCAGTTCTAGATTCTGAGTGCTGTTCCTGGCACTACAGAAAATATGG